TATTTTATTCACCATTTGTTGAGTAACATTATTTGCCATTATACTTGAGAACTGATCATATATATTAAATGATAGGTACGATGTTGAACCTTTTCCTATATTTCCAAATTTCTCAAATGTGTTGTGCTAAAAAAGTATCAAACTGAGCAATAAGCTCTTAGCTTATCATGATGTCCCCATTATGAACAGATCCAAAACGGTCCCCACACCTCTAAAAGTTATTACACGAAAAGAAAGGGATTTCACAACAGCTACAACTCTTGTCAATATATTTTTCCAATAATTTACTTCCATTTCTACTTGGTACTTTAGCTTTTGATCAATTCGATTTAATACTTCTTTTCTTTCTTTCATATTCATTACACACAATTTGTGGTGTTGTGAATTTTCATGACGCTTAATTTTTTCTTGTACTTTTATATACAAGATGGTTAAATAAGTATGGCAAAAGAAAATATCCCTCAAAAGGCGATCAAAGCCCAATTGCCAATTTAATATAATTAATACGTAATTTATTCTGCTTATCACTTCAAATTATAAAAAATAAAATAAAAAACAAACTGATTAAGGTATGTTAGCACAAAATTTATTGAAAGTTAAGAGCATTTTTAAAGGTTTTTTTTTTAATGTAAAGAGAATCTTTGTATAATTATTTCTTTTTTTAAAACTAAATAATTATGCCTATACCTACTAATTAATAAATAAGGATCAAATATTTAATTAATAAAAACTATAAATCATTTATTTAAAAAAAATTATATCTGGATTACTAGTAGGAGTAGACCTCAGAACGTCGGCGCCAGAGTGATGAGCTTATCCATTACGCTATCACTACAACTACATAAATAGTATATTTATAATAGATAAATAATTTGTTCAGAGAATCGACTCAGTATCAAATCAACGTTTTGGATGAATAATTGGCGCATAGTTACTTGTAATTCGCAAGTTTAATTTGATCGCCTTTTGAGTGATATTTTTTTCTGCTAACCAAATTTTTCTGAAAAAAACTAAAGATATTTAGTAAGTCTATAAGAAGGTCTGTGATTTAAACATAGTTATAATTTAAAAATTTTCGTGAAATAATATAAAATGACTTTTTTACAATTTTCTAAAATTCTTGCATTCTGAATGATGGCGCCCTGTCAAAACATAGCGCCCGGGGGCCATAGCCCCTCCTGCCCCCCCTTCCTTAAATACGTCTCTGACTAGTATAATGTAATGTATAATACTACTTATCGTAAAATACTAGTATAATACTAATATGCCGAAATGCTGCCGAAATGTACTGCCGAAATGTACTGCCGAAATGTACTGCCGAAATACTGCCAGTCAACATTGACAAACAGAGACCGTATGGTTTTTGTCTGGGCTTACAAAAAAGGGATTTTGACTGGAAAGTGTTTTGGTTTTCGGACGGATCCCATATGGTAAAAAAATCAAGCAAATTTGATTGATTGAGTTTTATCTGACCGGGATTTGACGGGTTTTCCATAAGGTTCCCAGTTAAAATTGATAATAAAAGTTAAAATTAATAATTAAAAAAAATCATTACAAAACTTACTAATGGTTGCCATTTATAACTCGTAATGTGTGTTTTATTGTTTGTATACATTATATTTACATTTTAATTAAAGCGAAATTTTTTTTTTTTTTGTATATTTTTTCACTGCGAAACTCCATTAAAAAGTTGTTGTCTTTATTTGAATTTCATTTGTTTATTACCATTATAAAATTTTTTCTTTATTTTTCCTTAATAAATTTACAAAGTTTAACATATATGTTTATCATATGTTCTAGTAACTATTACACATGTAGTTACAATTCGATTGAGACACTGTTTGCATTATTAAAATTATCAAAATTTAGAGTTTTGTTTCTGCTTGTGATGGTAATAACTGCTTTAAAGTTGCTCAAAAAGTTGGTTTAAACAGAAACATTCAAAAAGAGCAAACAGTAGAATGTTGTGATGGATAGGTTTTTAGGATAGGTTTTTAGGATAGGATAGGATAGGATAGGTTATAGGAATAAGGAATTATAGGTTTAAGGAATTTAAAGCTTTTTTACAGATCTTTTTTAATCGTTTTTAATCTTTTCCATTAATTTTTCTATATTTTATGCAAGAAAAATGACTGATATTAACAAAGTTTATCCACCTTCATATATAAATATCAAGTGTTTACAAATAAATGCAAAAATGACTTTATTGTTATGCATTAACTGCATTTTTAAATCATCGGTATTTTATGACTTGGATTTAAAATGGTACGCTTGTACTACCAACAATATAATACTTTAACAATATAATTCTTGTACTATCAATCATAATAATAACATAATAATAACTTATACCTTCAATACTTAACTAATAAATACTTAAAATACCTAAAATATATTTACAATGTTGATAAAATATTTATTGATATAAACTTTTGCATTCAACTTTAAGTATAAAACTTTAATTTAACCTGTTAACTTTAACATAAATAACGATAACTAA